ATATCGTAAGATTTTGATATCGAAGGTCATTATAAAATCAGATCGTTTGAATAAATTTTAACACTTATTTTGAGATGCAAAAGTTGAAAAAAATATATTAAAAGAGTATTGAACGATCTTCAAAAAGTGAAAATAAAATGATTGAAAAAAATATTTTCAAAGTCATTTAATTTTAAAAGTCTTTATCATTAGAAAATAAAGAGAATACAAAAGTATTCGAGAATTATTATTATTTCTTTAATAATGAACGAGATATATCTACGTATACCGGTATAACGCGAATTCATTCTGTTTATTTTCCAATCGTAGCTCCACCCTTTCACCCGGATCGAACAGCATAAGTTGCACAAACAACACGTGATGAACTCTTCAAATTTACCATTCCATTCTTTACCACTCGTTATGAAAACAATCGATGAAACGCAAAAAAACGCGTCTTCTCTCGATTCATCATCAACTTTCATAAATCACGGCTAAAGATAAATGCATTAGCTTAGCCAAACACTTTCACCCATCAACAATAACTACGCAAAAAAGTTTGCCAATATTCCCAAGTAAACTCTCAACGCAATTCCTCCGATATATCAATGTCAAACTTGTTTCCGGAAACCACGTGTCATCACCGTGTGCCCATCGCCGAGCGAAACATCTCGAAAACGAGGAGACACGGGGTAAACGTGGCACGACCCTTAAACGAATTGAACCCCTGATTAACCCAATCGGCCTTTTAAACGATCAAGCTTCGTTCTTTTGTCTAATTCTGGCGGTAAACAAGCGGCCGATTTGTCGTGTAGGCGATCACGCGACTGCGCGAGTCATCGCGCGCTCTGAGGCGCCGTCATTTATGACCGACACGCAGTTGTTCAGTATTGCGCCAACAGTCGCGCTGTGAACGTGCGTGTGGGATGTCGTTTGTCCTCTTGATGCGCCTAGTGTTGCTTTTTATCAGTTAATCGAACGCGGCAAATCGATTAAACTCTTGTCACACGTGTCAAGAAATGTCTACGTTGCGATATCCAAGTTACACCAAAAACTCGAGACTAAGTTTGGAAAAGGGGGAAATGTAAGGGGAATCGTTAAATTTTCCATCCCCCGGTTATCGTTCCTCGAATTCGAATCGTGCAAAGACACGGTCATAGACGAGTGTGTAGTTTTATGTAATGTGTGACCTAGAAAAAGCACTACTGACCGGTTCTGGAGCGATTAGATAAGAGGGGAATACAGAAAAGCTGGAATTGTACGGTGATGTATGAAATATCGCGAAACGGCCACTGGGAAATCTGACGTTTCATTGATACGTATATACAGGCCTCTATTATGCGATGTACATTCCATTTGCACGAGGTGAATAAAGCGAGAAGTGTATAAATACTAATATATATATATATATATATATATAACGGATATATATACATATATATATAACGGTTTCACGCGCGTAAACGCGGTACAATGTGTTTTTAACCGTTTGATGGGATTCCTCGAGCAAAGCTAAATTGTGGAGTTTCGTTTCTACGTGATGAAGTAAGTATCATGGCATGACGATTTCAATTCATTCAAATATAGCTACTTCTTGTTTTAAAGCGGGAAGAGCTTGACCACGTTGCGAGTCGTTTATATCGGAAACTATATCTTATCAATAGATTGTAAGCGAATGAAAGATAATTCTGTATTTATAGAACGATACTTTGGATTCATTGTTCGAGCACGAAAAGTTAACGAGAATTTATGGCTCGCGAATTAGTCTATTAGACCACGATTCTTAATCATCAAACGACACTCTCGTCCCTCTTGGTTCTTTCGTGATTTCATCCACGTTCATTTTGGTTGCGCAAAGTATGCGCAAAGCGGTATGCGATTGTGTTATTCCCTCTAACGTTGAGCCGTTTAGCCGTAAACAGAACAAGTTCACAGGCGGATTGCAAAACAAAGCGTTATCATAACATGAATTCCATCCGTTTCGCAGATGATCGATAAGATTTCGTCGCGTCGACAACAAGTCGATGAACAATGCATCAAGCTTTGTTTCTTACATCGTTCAAGACAAAGATATTTTGAAAGTTAGCGTGAATCGTCTCTATCTCTCGCGCGAGCAAATATTTTCGTCCATTACCCATGACGTAGTAGAATCCACGGAGATAGATCGTTTCCAACGTGTTTCCATCTTTTTTTTCGCGGAATACTTTTTATACCTATGTATCTCTAAATCTCGGTTCAAAGCTCATCTTTCTATTATGAAAATACAATTAACTTTCCGGTTCTCAGGAAATCGTTCGTCGAAGAATAAGAAAGGAAAAAAAAAGAAAAAAAAAAAAAAGGAAGAAGAAGAGGAAGAAGAAGAAGAAGAAAAACGTGAGAACGTTGGAAGGAATAAATAATAATTAAAGATGGAAAGAGAAGAAAAGGATCGTTTCACGGTTACACTTTCACATTGGGTTCGGTCCAAGCAGCTCGTTTAACCGTAAAAATAAGCCGTATTTTTCGGTTGACGACTTCCTATCGGGTAATGCGGACTCGTTGTGTCGCGAATAAAATTCGATTCCCCGTCTGGGAATCGGTCATTACTTTTTTTTGCCTTCTATCAATCTCGCGACCTTGCCACGACTATACCTCCCCTCTTCTTTCACGAGGTTTCTCGGCCGGCTCTCCGGCTACTTGGGAAACAACCGACCTTGCCTATGATAGTCATTGTCACGGTGCACCGCTACGATACAAATCAAGTTGCAATAGTGCATTGAATGATTTGCAAAAAACTTGTTTGCTCGCGAGCCAATTGCACACCACGTCGTGTGCGTCGTTTTGTTTGCAATTATCATAAAGAAATCTTGGGACTTGTCGTTGATATCGAGTCTTGTCGCTCTAATGGCCGCCTTCTTTCTTTCTTTCTTTCTTTCTTTCTTCTTTTTTTTTCAATTACCGTTAAACCGGTTGTTTCGTCTCGTTCTTTTTGGTTTTATTTGCGATATTCGTTTCTTCGTTATTGCTCGATAATTATTAATTGTTTCATTGACCGATCCGCTCGATATCGTAAGGACTGGTTAAATAAGATTTATTCTAACGATACTTAACTCGATAGTTATGTAAGTTCTTTCGCAATATTTACAAAACAACTCACGAATATAAGAGTCACGAATATTTTTTATATCTGTACCGGACGTGTTCTCCAGTTTGTTTTGACGTTACATCTCTTCGAGAAGATTCGTATGATAAGTCTTCTAAGTGGATCTTTGTCCAAAAAATTTTCACGATTCATCGATTTCGTTGGAATTTTGTTGGAAAATAATCTTGATGTTAGTTTTGCCAGGCACAATATCAGCATGTTTTCAAGTCGCTAAGGCCGAAGGATGTTGCAATATAGGGGATTTATTGATTACGATATCAATGTATTCGCGGAATTTTGATGAATCATTTTTCGAAAGAACGATTTATAGCTGGAACTAAGTTTCAGACTGATTACGATCTTTCCTGTTTCTCGTGAAAAATAGATTTTTATCTCAATTTATAAGGAAAAGAAAAATTTTCCGTTTAAAATTAATTTTCCAATTTACATCGATTGACGAGCTCCAGCGAATTATCCTATATTTCCTGACTATTATATCTTCTCATTGAATAACAAATGCAATTGGATCGTCATGTAGCTTTTCAAGTCCAAGAAGTCAGGGTCTCCGTCACACCATTGCATCGCAAAGATAAAATCGAATCTGGGTCGCAAGACTGTGCGGTGCCTCTGTCGGAAACGACAAATAGAAAAGTCTTGTTCGTTCTATCGGACCTGTTCCTGTACGAAAATTCCGTTTCAATAAAAAAACTGATTATTGTTTAATCCAATTCTTTACTTGATAAACCATTACATCTTTGATGATAATAAAATTAATCAACTTTTAATAGAAAAAAAATTAATTAAAGCTATCGTGTAAAAAGTTGTGAATTATCTTGTAATAATCGAATAATTTGCTGATCTTCGTTTCGTATTTGCATAAAAATTAGCATGAAAAATCTTCGTGGCAGGAAACTTTTCGTAAAAATAATTTCAATTAAAAATAATGGCAGATCCTCTTTGGGAAATCACGAATCCGGATACTCGAATAGGATTAGAATCAGTTTACCTATAAAAAAAAAAAAAAAAACAAAATTTATAGATCGAAATTCATATTATTAATTCTTTCTTATTACACGTTAAGAAGATCGATACGTAAACAGGTTCTTATTATTCCAATCGAGTAAAGAAATAAATTAGTAAAACTGGTAAACAGAATTTCGAAAAAACTGGACTCGGATAGTTATTACGGCCGGATACAAGTTTATCACAATGTTCCATCGGTCGTATGGCCAGTTACGTCACAACTGGATTTTCCAAACAGCTTCTTGTTTACGCGTCTTATATTTACACAGATCCCTTGATCCATGAAACTTTGTCGTAATCTCGTTCGTAAATCCTTTCCATCATCGCGTATCGTCGTCGATCCTTTGCGTTCCCGGTTCGAATCTCGCGCGAATTCCCGCGCCTCGAGCTCACGTATCGAGCAACGTAATCGAAGCTCTATATATCGAAAGCGATCAGTACGTTCCTTGATCTCACCCAGCGCACAAGGTTCGTTGCTATTCTCGTGAACAACTCGAGATGACGACTTGCTCGGCCGAGTTACCCACCGTGTCCTCCTTCTGTGGCGTTCACTGTGACTCACCGGTCGATGACGGTGACGCTAACTATGACGGAGCTATTTTTTGACAAGGAATCTTCTCCCTCCTAGGAAGAGGGAGAAAGACGCGGCCGGATATGAATCGAGACGCGCTTGTGAGGATTTACTCGTAGGCGCCAAGGCAATGCACGTCTTGCGGCTAAATTGGATGTGCATACATCTTCCCTCGAAATTACGGAATTAAGCATGATGAATTAACCTCGTGGAACGGTGTGGGGGAATATTCTTTGCACGACCAGTCAATAAGAATATTTATTGGTCCGAATCGCGAGAAGTCGGTGAAAAATAGATGCGGCTCTTTTGTGAACCGCATAACCGATTGCGTAATCGGCCAATTTATTCCACGCTTTCACCATGCCTGAAAACATTTTCGAAGTCATTCAAGTATCGAGGCTACCGAGTCGTTGAGTAAAACGGCGACTTGGTTGATTCTCCGTAACGGTTGAGCAACGATAATAGGAAAATTTATGAAGTGGCTGTTATGGCTTGTTGTTGGCTTGCGTTCACCATAGATAAATAGAACATCGTCGTTTATTTATCCGGATTGGCAAATACAGTTGATTAAATTATGCGAGTCATTTTTTTTCTCAACCATTTCCGGGGAAGCCAGTTTCTAGAATCGAAATATCTAAGCGAAAAGTCTCGATTGTGCGTGTAAACAATTAGATAGAGCGATAAAGGAAATGAATAAAAATAGAGCGAGGCCATAACGTTTTGCTTATGATGGAAAGTGGCTGATGAAACTAGTAGAAATGGACGCGTCATGATCAGACGCTGTACTCCTACTATCTGTGGGCGAACGACCCCTCCTTTCAACTCTCATCTATTTTTACAGCTTACCTTTACTACGAAATTTAGAAGACAGAGCTTAAAATTGCCAAACGAAGGAAATATATTAAACTTTTGTCTTTCGACAGTTTCAATTATAATTTGCATAGTTTGTACAAAAGTCATTTGTTATATATATATATATATATATATATATATATAGCATTTCTAAGATAGTTG